CCAGTAGGAATTACTGTAATGCTGCCAAACTGAATGTGAATCCACGTCTCTCATGGGGGAAGGTTGCTACAATACGTCAGCCCACCTGGTCACCCAGATTCATTCACACGTTCAGTTTATAGCAGTAAGCTAAAGGTGAAGTCAGGAATCACCCTATACTACCAGCTTAAGCAGTCACTTCATGTGAGTACCTTAGGCGGAGCTCCATTTCCCTGTTCCTTCGCTGCTGTTCTGCAGCTCCCTGCGTGGCTCAGACAGGCTCAGCTGGTTTAAAGGTCTCTGTTAAACGTAATAGACACTCTCTTCCAGAACTTAGTTGTCAGAAAAGGCAAAGAGCAAAGACCCCTTCATTCCTTCCCAGTCCAGGAGAACTGCCCCTGCAATGCACCAGGACTCCCGCTCTCCATGCCCCTGATGAAACAGGCCCCAAGATTTCTTTATGTCCCCTTTTAAGCCAGGAGAGAGAAAGCCTTGGTAAGCATGTAATGTAGCCATCCTAGGTTCATTGTTATCCTTCCAAGTACGCTGGTGCTAGCGTATAATGCAGGGATGCTGGGAAGCAGAAACCCTCAGGTTCCCCTGAATGGGCTGGCTTTTCCTCCCAGCAACAAAAAGCTTCATTATCCAGTGGGCCATATGATGCTCTCAATTCCACCAGGGCAAATCTGGAGTTACTCCACCAATTGAAGTGGAATTACTCCACTGGTGTAATGACTCAATCATCTAACCAGCTAATATGACCCAGACCCTCCTACCCTCCCCTTATACTGTAATTACTATGTGTCACTTCAATTCTGACTGGCAGAGCAGAATAAACAATGGCTGCTAAACCTGCTCCATGCACTGCCTAGAGAGAATGCCGCAGCCAAGGAATCTGGCCTGGTAACCCCTCCCCAGTCTCTCTGGGACACACACTAGCAGTGGGAGGCAGGAGACCTGAGAGTCCTAGAGCAGATAAAGTGGAAAACCCCTGACTTGGTCACCTTGTTTATGCTACAACCGAGCCAGCCCTGGTCTTTACCATCTGCTCAATGATAAGACTCTTGATTTCCAGCCAGCACCCAGCTCTGGTATGGCTGCTCAGACTGGGCTCCCGTGAGTCTCCACCAAGGAGGCTGAAGTGTTGTCTCACTGGTGAGAACAGGAAATCTGCCCTAGAGCCGGATGCAAAAGCTGGAGAGCATGGGGCAGGGCAGAAACTGACCAGGTGAGAGAGGGCCACCATGGCAGCTTGCCAGGAGCCCTCAACCGACCTCGAGATCCACTTGAGTTTTAAAATTCAAACCCAAAACCATAGTTCCCATACTGGGATCTTTCCTGAGAGAGCAACAGAAACTGAGTTTACCATATTACCCTGCAGCGGGTCAGTTTTGGCCTTAACCTGCACCGATGGGACGTGCTGCCCAGCACTACAAGTTACAATTTGTGTGCTTTGGGGTGCCCCTGTCAGGCAGAATCTTTAGCCTTTGGAGAGATTGGGGATCCCCTCCCCTTAGCTGGTCACTCAGGCCAAGGGGAAATCCTGCCACAGAAATGCAACATGGAAGCTGTTTCTTAAGGGCCAGATTCCAAACACCTGCAGCCCCCATTGGCTTCAGTGGAACGTGCAGCTGTTCAGCAGATTTCAAGAGCCTAAAGGGATAAGAGCTCTTTGCCCAGAGGAAGCAGCAGTAGCACTGGCTGAGCCCTGGCCCGGCGCCTTAGAAAAGGTAAAAATGGACCAGAAAACTGTAAAGGCAACGGACCCCTTCCCTGTGCAAACACAACCCACAATTCCAACTAGTGGCTGCACCTCCCATGTAAACAGGTTTATTCACTGTTAGAACCATGCAGCAATAAGTACATATTGCATCACGGCCTTTGCCAAGTGCACCGGTGTGTATACGGGGTGTACATCCCCCCCACCCTGGTGCATGCACCCGCAGGAATAGAATCACTCTGCCGTTGCAGGTTGGGATCGTGCCACCCGCGTTCTGCTCCAAGGATCACTCTGGGCTCTGCATGGTGAGAGTCACAGACATGCATGACCTCGGGTCTGACCGCCTTCCTCCTCCTGCGGGAAAGAGCCGAGGCCCCAGAAACGTGGGGTCCATCACGCTCAGCCCGCACTGGAGACACAGCTGTAGCATGGAGAAAACAGAGCATAGAGAAGACACGGCGGGGGGGGGGGGTTCTGTCTGCTATTGGTTCATCTATCGTATTCTACAGCAATGGGCCAAAAGGCTCCAACTCCCAAAAAGCTACGACTACTACTACTGTCGATTGCGGCAGTGTTTTTATTGAGGGGTATTTCGGGTAGGAAATATAACAAAGACTCAGATGATTCCTGGCATCCCGTCTGCACCTGCCCTCGGGCTTCTCAAAGGGCCCCTTGGTAACTGCGGGAGAAGCCCGGGCCTTCCCTCTGTCCCAAGGGCAAGCTGAATGGTTGGAGGTTGATCACTTCACTCCACAGGCCGCTGGCAGGGCTGGTGCTACCATTTAGGCCAACTAGGCGGTTGCCTAGGGCGCCAAGATTTGGGGGCGCCAAAAAGCGGCGCCCCCAATTTTTTTTTTACAGCGGCCACTGCCCTGGGAGGGAGAGGGCGTCTGAGCTGTCGGCAGGCAGCCCAGGGGTTCCCCTGGGTCAGTGCGCCACCAGCAGCCCAGGGGAACCCCTGGGTCAGAGCTGCCGCACGGATCCCCGTGTCGGGGAGTGGGGAGCTGCTGCGGGGGGGT